GCTGCCACAGAGGCAGGAGAGGCTCCCACCACTGCCACTGCGATCTCCAGCCATGAGCCTGGCTTCTGGCTGAGCAGCGCTCCCCCTGTGGGAGTGCACTGACCACTAGGGGACAGTTCCTACATTGAGCATCTGCCCCCAGGTGGTTAGTGTGCATCATAGCAACCCGTCAACTGTTCGTTCGGTCGCAATGGTCGCTTAGGCTATACCCCTCCAAACAATAATTGATATATAAGAAGAAAAAGATTTATAAATTATAAGTAAAAGCATCTTTAGAAAACATGTTATTTTTATTGTTGTGTAACATGCAATCTAAGTAAAAACATTATGCTTACCACAGAAGCAGTACTAAGTTAAGGCGAGTCTCTAGTTTCCCCTTCCCGATTGCTACCCATCAGCATTTTCTCTGTAAAATATCTGACACTCCCAGTGCTCGAGATTGTTAACAACTGTTGTCAAAGGACAGAAGCCAGTGCCTGGCAGAGGATGTAACATTCCTCTGGAAGCTGAGTCTCTCCTTGTCTTTCCTTCTCCTCCTCCAGTTATGTTGTTTTTGTGCTGCGGTCTGTATTCTGGATTTTCAGAGGAGTCTTTCCTTATTATCTTTACATGTGTGATTCTTGTTTTTATGATCCAAAGTGTATTATGCCATAAACTCCTTGGGAGAATAATTTGTTTAAAGCCCCATGAAAAGTATCCTTTGAACCTTTGCCTGAAGTGGTAAGGAAAAAGGGCTGCTGTCTGGAAGCCAGACTCTGTGGTAAGTTCTTTCAAAGCAATGTAGATATGGGATATTTTAAAAAACTAAAATTCTGGGAAGTTTTTTATGTGGCAAGTTTTGATTCACAGCATTTGGAAGGGTAGTTTGGAAACGTTATTCCACATTTACACCCCAATTTAAATAATAAAATATGTAAAATAGTTTTCCTATTTATTATTTCCACTCAATTCAGAAGACTTTCTAGTTCCAGGTTTTTCTCATAAAAGTAACTGATAGTATAATTAGTCACAAAAGCAAAATAAGAGGTTTACTATTGAAAGGGAGATAGCAAAATTATCATTATGTGCAGATGACATAACCTGGAAAACCTAAGGGAATCAATTTACAAGTTATTAGAAATAATAAGAGCATTCAATAAGTCAGACATTAAATTTTTATAAATGCATAAAATGTATACATTTATATAAGTATAAATATACATTTTTTATAAATGTATAAAAATCAATAGTATTGTTATATTCCAGCTAAAACCAGTTCAAAATTATGAGGTAAAATTAGTGCAAGAAAAACAATAACAGCAAATCACAACAGGAAGTATGTTGGACCTAGATGAAGAAAAATAGAAAACTTAACAGGATATAAAAAGGCTTGATCAGAAGACTCCATGCTATAAATATGTCCATTTCTCCTGCATTAATCTGTAGAATCCATGAAAATTCAACAGAAACTATAACTGGATTTTTCGTAACTTGATTTGATCTTTAGTTCAACTGAAATAGTAATTATGTGAAATTGATTAGTGAGAGAAAAGGAAGGAAGGAAGGAATGGAGGAAGGAAGGGTGCATTATAAGGGAATACTTAGCTCTGGTAGCCAACCTCCAAGATGGACCTTAACTGCACATTACAAATTTAAAAAATATTCTTAAAACACCAACTAGTCAAAAGTCAGTTGTGAGATTTATTGTAACATTTTATAAAATGTATTCCTTTCTTCCACACCTCCCCCAAATTTATTATTATTTTTTTTTGGTAGCAAAAATATTTTTTATTTATAATTTACAGTTTCACAAGTGAAAATCGTACATTTTTACACATACAATTTCATTTTGTAAATCTGCACACATCTACAGAACTTTCACACACAAGCACCTGAAACTGTGCAGTCAGTAGGATAGGCAAATACTAAAATGTATTTATTAACCAAATAATAGCTGAAGGCCCTGCCTCAGCTAGACAATTTATATAGATAGTTCTATATATACATTAAAAAATTCTTCACCTACATCCAAACAGCAGCTTTTTAAAAAAAGAAAAACATATCTTTCTCATTTTATTTAAACTGACTCAACTGTATCATTTTCAGTTTGTAT